TGTGTGTCTCTGTGTGTGTGTATGCATGTTTATGAGTGTCTGTGTGTTCTAGTGCATGCCTCTGTGCATGTATGCATGTGGATGTGTATTTTTATGTGTTTGTGTGTGCATCATTGTATGTATCCGTGTGTTTCTTTGTGCCTGTGTATGTTTGAGTGTCTGAGTGTATCTGTGTGTATCTATGTGTTTCTGAGTGTGTGCATATCTTTGTGTCTCTGTGTATGTATATGTTTATGCATTTGTGTATGTGTCAGTGTGTGCATATGTTGTGTCTTTAAACACATGCTTTTGCATTGCTTCTGTACTCCACATAAACACATGATTCTGCATGGTTTATACACTCCACATAAACACATACTTCTGCATGTCTTCCATGCTCCCCATAAATACATTCTTCTCTATGGTTTCTGTACTTCACATGAACACATGCTTCTGCATGATTTTTATTCTGCACATAAACACATGTTTCCTTCAAGGCTTTTTATTATGTCTCATCTCTTTCTGTTTGGACTAACTTTATTGTTTCCACTTCTGTAATGTCTCCAAAATCCATTTCCCTCCTTTCCTTCATGAAACCTTTTCCCTTAACTAATACACTTGCATCTATATGCTTTTCTACATTTCACTATATCTTCATAACTGATCCTATACACTTCTCTATGTCTGAACATTGTGAAGCATAGTTTGGATGATTTTCTTCACTTATCCAAAATGTCAGTGATTTCTCATTGCTTAAATGTAAGGCCCAAAGTCCTGCATCTAGCAATTACACTTTGTCTCAAATAGTTCCAGCTTCAATTTCATCCCCATTGTTTGCACTTATCTTATGAACTCCATTCAAACTGGTCTAGTCTCCATTTCCCAGGACATATTTTTTTAGCTTTCCTAAAATCTTGCTCCTTCTTTTCCTTTAGTCATGTGGTATTATTCCCACAGCAAGGTGTGCAGTTCCCAGATCCATGAAAACTCTTCACCTTTTGTTTTCTTAGAACTTGTAGAGCACTCTGGGGCATCTATTCACTCCTCTCACAGGACTTATGAATGGTGGAAATACACTGTGAAATGCCTCATCACGTTGAAAATATTGTAGCAAGTGCTCACTGATGAGTTTTTTTTTTTCAGTTTTTATAACCTACATAGTGCTTCACAGTATGATTAGGTTTTTTAATTTAATTTTTTAAATGTACATGTGTTATTTCTCTTTTTAGCCACTGGAGGGCACTTATGAAATACTTAACACTGCTAAGCTACTAAGAGGTGCACATGTGTATGTGTGTGCTGACATGCATTAAAAAATTATAAATTTTCTTTTGTTCTTAATAATGAATACTAAAGATAAGGCAAAAAGTTATTTCTTAAAGTTTTAAAATTTCAGCTTATAATTATTAAGTCTGACACATTTGTACAATCATTTTTAAAAGAAATACATGAGTTGCATGAATTTTTGGTTTACTTAAAGCCATATGCAAATGTTCATAAATATTTTGGATTTAATATAAATTTAATAGAATTCAATATATCCTATTGTCTTGTGAGGACTTTAATTTGTCTGACAAATCTTCCCAAGTGCCGTAAGTAATTTTTTATAAATCTAATAGTTTAAACATACTTATAATTTAATATATACTTATTAAATGAATAAATATAATTTAAATAATTATGTAGCAAGCACACTCAAGTGTTCCAGAACTCTCTATAAGCCAGTAAGATTTTTACCTATTTTAACAAATGTAAATTTATTTGTGAGATTTACATATTTTAAAATTGGAATGACAAGGCTGAATATGATTGTATTAAGTCAAAGACTTTAGACATTATAAATGCTGTATTTTAAAATTCAAATATATGCAGCTTTCTTATCACAAAATTTTTATTACATCCTTTCTTAACTTACCAATTATTTATTGAACACTTGCCATATATTTTTCACTGTTCCAGCCACTGGGTTTATGACATAGAGCAAACAAAAATATTCCCTACTCTCATGGGGTTGATGCTGTAATCACTGTGGGGAGTCAAGTTAATAAACATAATAAACTTTGCTGCATTAATATGAATTATGTTGTGATCCATTAGTCTGTCCTCCATGTATGCTCTCCTAGATGCTTTCTAACATGTCTTTCTGTTACTATTGCAGGGTGTGCTCTCTAATGATACTGGTGCGACTCTCTAATGCCTTCCCAAGACAGGCTCAAACAAGTCTCTATATTGAGAGAAAGACTGAGACTCTTGTGCACAGTCACACTACATTATAATTTCCCTTGGAGAACTGTAACCCTTTCAATTTGTGGGGGGGGGCTTTACCAAGGACTAAATGCATGACCTCACATTTGCCAAGCAGTCAATTATACCACTGAGCCTAACCCCACCCCCCCTTTCAAACTTTTAATGAGGTACACCAGCCATGCATGATCATGAGTGTGTGAGCTCACTGGGGTCATGGTTGTTGAGTAACTGGCTAGATTCACTCATCAGGTAATTAAAACTATTTCGTGCACATTTGCTTCACAGAGTAATTCAGAATTGCATTTCAGAAAAATGACAAATACATATAATAAGAATTTGTGAGAGTCACAATATTAAATTCCTGTGAACTAAGGCCCTGTTCCATCACTCACTGATTTCCAGAATTTGCTACTTTTAGTAAAGTAATCATTAGTCACAGAAACTTGCTACAAAATGGAAATGTTAAGAGTCTTGTGGCTGGAGACACTGTTCCTTCTTCATGTCTGAGGGTTTTATTTCATTTAAGACCACAAAGATTTATAACAGTTCTCTTATTTACCCTCTGCAAAAATGCTTCACAGTGAAGTCAGGAATAGCTGGTAAAAATGGTGCTTTTTGACCATCTCCAACTTTCCTGAAATGTTCATGCTTTGCGCAGAGACTGAGAAGTACTGCCTGATCGCAAATCTGGGTCTGAGTCTCTGGGAAGAAAGTTAGACTTATCAAATGAACCTGTTCAGCAGAATACCTTGTACTTTGCCAAACCTTGTTGGTCAATTTCGGTTCTGGCCTACTTTCCCTCCTTTAGTAATTGCATGTATATTTTAATCACCTAAATAATGAGACTCATCTGCTAAGGATATAATCTTAACTCCCAATATCTTTGTGATGTTTTTTCAACTATTTTCACATTCATAGCTAATTTGCTGCTCATTGTAACCCTGGGAGGTAAGGATGGCATGTTTCTAATGTTTGCTGTAAAAATTGTCATCTCTTCATAGATGAATAAAGGTTTGTGGCTACACAGTCATAACTCTGCCACTTAATAGCAATGAGACCTCGAACATACTTCCTAACTTCTTTTGGTCACAATTTCCATTTTTAAGATGAAAAAATAGTAGCTGCCCTGAAATATATTTATGAGAAGTAAATGAAATAATGTTCATAGAGTAATTTTCAGGTTGCTAGGACATTGATATTCGGGGGGAATTATAGAATTTACTCATAGACACATAGAGTCTTAGGCCAGAATTATTTCTGCTGTGTGGCGTGTTTTTTCCAGGATGGAAACAGCAGTTGCATTTTCTTTTCTTTCTTTTTTTTTTTTTTTTTTTTTTTTTTTTTTTTTTTTTTTTGAGAATTGGTCCTGCTTCAAAGATGTGGGTCATTTTAAATTTCAATTGTAACTTTTTCTAATTTAAATTTTCATTTTTTTCATTGATTCTCAGTAGCATAGTTACTGGCTTAAAGGAAAACTGAATTTGACCTTTTGGTAAGTATTGTCAGATTATCTTTCTTGGGTTTATACTTCTAGTAGCTGGCAATAGAGGAGGGCATGGTTGAACTTCACAGTGGAGGGCACTGTTGAACTGTGACAGGTGAGAAACTGCACCAGTTAAAAAAATGAAGCGGAGCACCTCTTCATATACTTAAATTTCCTTTATATTTGGGTTTGTACATGTGTGTTTATGTTGTCTACTTATACTTTTGCTTACTTTTTTCTGCAGTTTTTTTCTTGTTCTCATTTTTTAGTAGTTCTTTATAAGTTTGGCAAAGAGCCCATTTATCTTTTATATTAGTGTTAAACAATTTTCTCAAGCTTTTAATTCATCTTTTGACATTGCCTCTGGTGGTGGTTGTGTGTGCCTGTGTGTTTTGTTTTATCATACAGAATATCATTATATTTATTGAGTTGTCACTAAGCAGAAGTGAGTGATAATATACTGTCTTTTCTGGGGCTCTGACCTCTGGCTTTTCTGCTGAGAGGCCTTTAGAATTATTACTGATGACCATTCTGAGTGAAATCTTGCTCTTATAAAATAATCTCATATTTACATTCCATATATATACTACACACACACATACACATATGTATATAATTTTTTGTACTAATTGCTATCACTTTGATTTTCTTCTTTGCATATCTCCAGTGGTGTGTACTTCCTTTTTTTTTTTTTTTTTTAATTGGTACCAGGGATCAAACTCACAACTGTGCGCTTGCAAGGCAGGCGCTTATGCCACTGAGCTAAATCCCCAGCCCCTAGTCTGTACTTCTTTTCACATTTGGTTTTGTCTATTCACTTAGAGGGCTGATTTACAGAGAGCAGAATTCTTGCCTGAGCCATCCGTCTCAGCCACAGCTCCCCACCCAGCACTGAGCTGGTTATGTGGATTCAGTAATAACACTGCAGTGAATCAGTGGCTCATGCCCTCACAAAGTCTGAAGAAGTTGGAGTATAAAAAGATCCTCTCTCATTCAGCCCCAAAGCCCTTTCTGAAACAGACCCTACATTCTGTCCCTTGGGTGGAAGCAGGCCAAGCAGATGATGGCTTTTGAAGGAATGACCGAAGCTGACTCTGAAGCTCTCTGGTACTTCTTCTAGAACCTCCCAGGGCAATCCTCTCCTGAAAGAGATGGGAAACTGGCCCACTGGGACCCTTCATCATTTGTCTTTCCTGTTTGTTTGATGCTAAGAGTTTGATGGAAGTGGAACTAAACACCCAGGAGTTCAAGAAACCACTGATTTTAATGGGAGATAAGATAGTGGGGAAGGGATTTGTTGACAAGATGGTGACAGAGTATCTCCTCATGGTGGGAGTTGATGCATTGAGAGAAGCAGAACTCTGAACTCTCTCTTCTCAGGCATGTGGCCAGAAGGGACAAATCTGGAGGGGAGGAATGCATGAACTTTGCCTCTTGCCATGAGAAACAAGAAAGGAGATAGAGAGAGACATTAACATCTAATATTTGCAAATGTTAAACAATACTGAACTTTTGTGCCTTTGTACAGAGAAGGAAAACTGGATTGGCTGCAAGAAAAGATGCAAGGGGCTCAGCAGTGAAGCAACCCTTGAAATTGGATGGCTCATTTAAATTCACACCAACTGGATGCTACAGCCTCCATCCCAACTTTACTCTCTGCCCTTGTCCTCTGTCTTGATGTACTGCTTTCCTGCTGGGCCTCTGCATCTACTTCTTTCGCCCAATCTGTGCCATCAGGTGAGCATTGGCAGCTGCCTTGGCTTTCATGTTCTTGGCCTTGGCGATGTTGAAGAGGATGTTCATGATGTTAGTAGGAACATCGAGGGATAGTGTGAACTTGGTGCGTTGGTCACTTTTGCCTTTGTCCTGGTACAGCTTCCCTTTGTGCTGTGCTTGTGGCAGATATTTGTACCGGGTGCTTCCAGCACCACCTCCACCCCCAGAGCCAGGGAAAGTCCTTTTTTCCTTGTCCAGATTTTCTTTTTCCTCCTCTTTCTCCTCTCTGGGAGACTGGTCTTGACTGGGAAGGTAGTGGAAGCTATGCTTACTTAGAAGGGGAATATCCTCCCTCTGGTTCTTCTGCACCTTGCACAAGGCTGTGTTGAGGCAGTTGAAGACAGACCCAGGTTTGTAGAACTTGTGCGAGACACTTGTGCTTGAGTCCCCCAAGAGCAGTATCAGGAGCAGCCAGAAGTGCCCTGGCATCAGCATCTTTCACTGCAATATAGAAGAGGAAGGTGGGAATTGCAGAGAGGGGAGCTCAGTACTCAGGAGGACATGGAGTAACATCCAAAACAGTGTTGTGAATATTGTGCCACAGTGAATTGCGAATTATGGTCCCCAATGTACCTGCACCACTATCATCTGGGAATTTGTTAGAGATGCAAACTATTTTCAGTTTTTCTTCAAAATTAAGAATCAAAATATTGGGGACCCTGCAATCTGTACTTTACCAAACTTTCCATTCAGGTGGTTCTGATGTTGTCTAAAGTTAGACAACCATTGCTTTTTATATGTATGGATTCTATGTTTTACCCATCTTTGCAGGTAACCATTGGTCTTGATAGCAAATAACAAATATGCTAAGTAAACACCTAGCAGCCTGACTGGGTTGATTTTTACAGCAAGCAGATTTTTGGTTTCCTTATTATTAGCAAGGCTGATTGTAAGCATCCTGATTGTTTAATGACTATGACTATGGCTAGGCACCCAGCTGGTGCTTCTGAGGCAGAGTTTTAAGAGCCTCTGCTAGGCCATTCTACTTTCTTCAGGCCAATCAGGTTTGCTTCCTTGGTTGATTTTACTAAACAGTTTATGATGACAAGGGCAGTATGGTCTCTACATGAAACCAAAGTGTTTCTACATTCTCTGGTCACAAGTCTGCAGTCCTAATATATATGTTTGTTTCCGGTTATCAGTCAGTGAGGTACTGTTTGGAATCTATTCAGCAATACTTCTGTTTGAGGGCATGATCTGCCTGGCATGGCCTCATGTCTTCTCTAGGTCCCATAGTATTTCCAAATGCAGGGTGTGCCTGTCAATGGTCCAGGCTAAGGAGTGGCTATGGAGATGACTGACATCTGCAATGTCAGTCTGTAATGACAATTTGAACCCATAATTTTTTAAAGCAAAACAAACTAAGTCTTAATATATAAAATTTGCAGAAATGCAAACATTGAGATCCATAACTGTCTGGGGCTCAGACCATCGTATATAGTTATTGGTCTACTAAGCAGTAGTTTCAGAGAGTTTTAACATATCTTTTTCAGCTGAGGAGAAGGGCTCTAGCTGAGCTATCTACACACTTGTGCCTGTCCAGTCTCTTGTATAGTAACAACACATTGTTGTACCCAAATTTTATGGGAAGTAGACTTTTCTGAGATTATCATTAGAGAAAATCATAAAGTAGGTAGAATTTGATCTCTTTTCAAAGTGCAGGGAGGAAAACCCATCCGTACCTCAGTCTCCTTGGCCTGCTCGTTGGCATGCACTCATCAGCTCTGACATAAGGATATGAAGACTATTTCATTGTCAATATTCATCATGCATTAAAAAAGTGAGGTTGAAATGTCCAGGGTTTTATTTTAATGTCTCCAGGAGTCAGAAGAGCTGCTCCTCTGCATCCCTTGAGATGTCAATACCTGGGCATACGCTGGTGCTCAAACTGCTTCATAAAATGACCTATCCTTTGGACTGTCTGAGGAGATACATCTAGTGTGGGATCAACCTTTCATTTTGGGATGTTTTATCTGTACTTGGAGTTTATTTTGTGGTTAGCTGAAACTTGTAGGAAATACTTTCTTATGCTAGTTTTTAAAAATTCATGAAACATTGAATAAGCAATTGACCATGGAAATTCTGGTGGGCTTTTAGTAGTACAAGGCATGCAGTGGACTGCTTTGCTTTCTGCAGTCACAGTGTAGAGCTGTGCCAAGAAGGCCTGGGGGTCAAGCTCTGCAGCTTATGGTCAGTATGGCCTTCATCAGGCTGCTTTCCAAAACACAAGTGGGAGTGGTCCCAAGCACCTTCCAACCATTCTTAGACTGTGAATGATAGGTAGGATCAAGCCTAAAAGGTCCCTGAGCTTAGATCTGAGAAAAGGATACTATCAGCCTCTATGCTTACTCTTGGAACATAAACACTTTGCACACATGAACACACGTTGCACACACACTCACATATGCATATATATGCACATACACATATATTCACATGCATTCATATACACATATGCCCATATACATGTACATGTACATGTGCAAATATATGTACATATGTGTATCTGCATATACATATGCTCAGGTTTTTGTAGAATTTACTCCTGTCTTAGGCCTTCTATATTGCAGCTGCTGATTTCCTTTTTCTTATTCTTCATAATTTATTTGCTCTTTGGTTTTGCATTTAAAAATTGAAGCTTATTTTTCTTTAAAAATATTTTTCATAATATTTTATGGCAAAATACCTTAACCTTACTTTAAATAATCCAAATATATGCACTGGACAGGTTTAGTCATGTCACATCCTGCAATGAGAACTACACAAACTTTGGAGTTGGATATACACAGCCTCAAATTTCATCTTGTCTTTGTTTGCAAGTCTTGGGCAGATTCTGTTATCTCTCTATCAATTTACTCACCTGATAAAATGAAAAATAAAATTTAAAATATCAGTTTATGAAAGCCTTTTGTATAACTAGATACTCAATATAGACTGGTTCATAATTTTTATACATAGATAATCTGTAAATCCTATTGAGAAGATGCGGTCTGCACACGCCTTTTCAGAAATACATTTTACACACGCATACACACACACACACACACACACACACACACACACACACACATATGCCAGATGAGCTAGTAGTTTGATCCTACAGACCAATATTTTTGTTGTTCAGTCTCTGGGTTGTGGATTTACCTACATACCACCCTTTCCACCTCAATTTATGGTGATTTTGTTTGTTTTCAATTTAATGTGTGTAAATAGGTCATTCTTTGAATTTGAATTTCAAGTTTTCAAGACTCCCATGAAGGAATGACTCCAGCCCTATCCAGCCTCTACAGAGAGCTATGGAGTCAGGAAGTCTGGGTTGGGGTCTGAGAATCTGCACTGAAAGTGATGCTGACTCTGTGTGACTGTGGGGTCCACTGGAAAATTTCTGTTCTATGTATCCAAAGCCCTCTGTGCTCCTTTGAACATTCTCCAAGGCTAAATTGACTGCCTTTGTGGAAAATGGATTTATTCTTTCTTTAAATATTCCACCCAAAAATGAGATCTTCAGTTTTAACACATACTGAGGCTCCAGTTGGTTGTTTCTGCTATTAGGAGTATGAGTACTGATTAGGTACCTTTTGCCTTGAAGGCACCTGAAAGCTTTAAAACAATTTTGAATGGCTCATTAATACTGAATTTGCTGATACACAGCAAATCAGAAATAGTTAATACTGGAAAGTCATGGAGAAATACCTACCACTCTGTCACTCCATTCCTCTTTCCCTTTATTCTTTTCACAAGCCATTAAGTAGTTCCTGACTAAATTCCCTGAATCTCCGTGTTGCCAGCTGTTAGAGTAGAGCATTTAGTTTGAGAATCTCTTTGCTCTGATTTCTTTCTTTTCTTAAATCTGAAAGAAAGAGACCCTTCTACTAAAGAACCAGTGAGACACAGTGATTTCTTTATTTTCACCAATGTGAGTTGCTTGGATTCTGGGTGGGTGTAAGGCTTTTCAGGTCTTTGAGCTGTCCTCCTGCTTCCTGCCTTGAGGAAGAAACAAGCAGAACACTGCTTTGTCCTCTTGCCTCTCTGCCTCTGCCCAAGACAGTGTTTTGCATTTATCTTCAGCCAACTGGGATTTTATACAAGAATTGCAAATACTGCTGATAACTCTGAATGCTTCCTGGGGAGAGAGGAGCTCTCTGCCATTGTCTGTCACCTCAGATAAATTAACACCTGAATTTATCTCTCAGGGTATCCCCAACCTAATAAAGAACTGTAAGCAACATGAACATTGCATTTCTTGGGCGTTTCTATTTCTGCTATACTGCTCAAGATTTTTGTGCTAGATTTCCCCTGTGAGCCATTGTAGCTTTTGGTGAATCCTTGGGACTGATGTGCTCAACAGTGTCTTTCTACATCAGATCTTCAGCAAATACTTGTTAAGTAAACAGAAATTTAAATTAGTATTCAGGTCTTAATTAATTCAGTTTCTCCCAGGCAGGATAACCTGCTTTAAATTCTCTATTTAGATGATAGTCTCTCTAATTCATTCTACTACATATTTCCAAGGAAAAATGCTTTCCAAAGGACATTTTTAAAAATTTAAAGTCATCATGTATATTTGGTGTCACGTGAGGGGTTTTTGAACATGAAAAAGACTTACCTAACTAACTTTCTGCAGTTTTCCAGGGAAATACTTTGGAAAGTTTTTCTTTTGTTGTGGGCTGGCTTCTGGCTGGTCTCTTGGAAACCCTCCTCATCTCAATTACACAAGCAATCCAGTGGAAGTAGAGAGGCAAGATTTCTTTTCAATTTTTACCTTTTTACAGGTTTTATCCAAAATTTCTAAGTATTATGCCTTAAAAGCTGAGTTACCTTCTGATTTTTCAAATCTCATGTCTCTAATCAAAAAAAAAAAAAAAATATTTGTGGAAAGGCAGCCAAAGGTGTTTAAATGAAGCTTAAAATGTATTTGGAAGCAAATTCTGTTATCACCAAAGCATAACAGACCCTCCTCTAGCTGCAAGTCCGAAGCTTTACTTGGGATAATATGTTAAGGATTTTGGGTAATGTCTCTTTACCCTCATCATTGATGCAAAGTTAAAAAGCAAGGAGAACTATCCAAAATATGAAGCATGTAAGATTAGAAGGCTCTGTGCTCATCTTAGCTCCAGACTGTCTAAGATATGAGGGCTTTGTGAGCCTGGATAGTTTAATTCTTAAAGTAAATGAGTGAAAATTAGGAGGCAGATTCAGGTTACATTCTGAGACTTCTCTTTTATTATTTATTTAGATATTGTTTGAGGTTTTCAAGACAAAATATACCTTTGGCTTCCTGGGTGATATCTGATTCCTGAACAAATTTCTCTTATGTCCTTTAGACTTTTGGGTCATAGTCCCTAGTGAGGTAGCATGGAATTTTAAGATTTGGTTATAACCCACCCTGGATATTGATAGGATTTTTGGCATGGTAAAGGAGAGAATATAAAGTA